GTTAATAATCATTAACATAATAATCTTTGGGTTTAGATCTACTGTCTTATTATACACTTTTTATTTATTCTACCAATTCTATATTTCTTCTCTATTTTCTCATCTTCATCTGAATTGATGTATTTGTTTTTACATTACCAGTTTCAAACTTGTACACTTTTGTTCTGCTCTTTTAGCATCACCCAAAAGTTATAGCTTGAGTTCTTGACTTACTAATTCTGTTATTTATTGATGCCTTTGCTTTCCTCTAAGAAGATACAAGAATCTTATACTATTTTAACTCCACCTATTCCCTTTTCAAGTTTATTCCATTATTGAGACCTATTAAAGACATACAGGAGATTGGATGAAACTCTGGGAGGTGACAGATTTCTGTGGCTTTGATGGTGGTGACGGCTTCAGACTTATTCCTGAACTTCTCAAGTGTATGCTTTAAATATGTGCAACTTTTTACATGTCAGTTATACCTCAGTACAGTGGCTTTCACGCTTTCTGTTCACCCATCTATCCACCTGCCATGGACATCTATACATCACTGTCTACATTTATGTCTATCCACATCTCTGTCAGAAGTTACTACTGTTTTATATATTGAGTGTTTTCAGATTCACCCAGGTATTATCTGTCACCTTCTCTGCTCTTAGTCCTTCTGTATTTCTGCTCTTTCATCAACTTCCAACTTTCTTTCTGCCTGAAGAATACCCTTAGAATTGGAATGCATATCTGAAGATGATATACTGCCTGATGATATACTGAAGATTTTGCTTGTCTGAGAATTAGTTTCTTCCACCTTAATTCTTAAAGAATTAAGAATTCTAGGTTGACAGTCACTTTCCCTGGGCACTGGGAGGACGCCACTGCCTCTTTTCCCAGCTCCCATCTTTTGCTGCTGAGAAGTCCACTGTTGGTCTAACCTTTTGGCCCTTCTGAATATCTACTGTCTCTTCTTTGATTATTTATTTATACTTTTGTCTTTCTCTTTGGTTTTCCGTAGTTTCACCATGACATGTCTGGTTATAGTTCTGGAAAATTCTCAACTCTTATTTCATCACAGACTGCGGCTGCCTCCCTGTCTCACCTCTCTCTTCCTGGGACTCCACTGCAGGTGTGTTAGACCCACTCGCAGCACCCTCCTCCCTGTCTATCACTTTCATTTCTTTGTCTTCCATTCTTTACCCCGAGTATTTTATTCTCCTCAGTGAGTTAGTTTTATCAAGATAAAGTTTGAATGCAATACAATTCACTGATTTTAAGTGAACAGTGCAGCAAGTGTTGGACAAATGTATAGAGGCGTGTCACCACCACCTTGATCATGATTTAGGGCACATTCATCACCCCCCAGAATCCTGCCCTTTACAGTCCACCCCCTGCCCTCCTGCCCTTGGTAACCACTAAAATGCTTTTTGTCATTGTAGTTTCCTCTTTGCTGTAATTTTTTGTAAACAGAATCATACTGTATGCTGTATTTCGTGTTTGATTTCTTTCACTTAGGGCATGTTTCTTTTGAGATTCATACATGTTTTACATAGTTCTTTTTTATTATGGAATAATAATCTATTGTGTATATATAACACAAAATTTTTTACTGATTCTTAAGTAGACATACATTTAAATTCTTTTTTTTTTTTTTTCCAGTTTTTGGCCAGGGCCAGGTTTGAACCTATCACCTCTGGTATATGAGGCTGGTGCCCTATTCCTTTGAGCCACAGGCGCCACCCCACACTTAAGTTCTTTCAAGTTTTGGAAATCAAGCTGCCCAGAACAGCTGATTATAAGTCTTTATGCAGACACATGTCTTTATTTTGGGTTCATAAGTTTGATAAATACCTAAGAGTAGGATTTTGGGCCAGTGGGATTTTTGGTTATTTGCTTTTATTGGGTTACAGAGTTTTATATATATATTCCGGACACAAGTGTTTTATTTTCTCCCAGTAGTGGCTTGCCTTTCCATTTCCTTAAAAATGTCTTTTGGAAAGCAAGTTTTTAAGCATTGTGAGGAAGTCCAACTTTTCATTCATAGTTCTTGCTTTTTTGTGTCCTGTTTGAGAAATCTTTGCACTACCTTAGTATTTTAGGTTGCTAAGATTTTTGTTTTGTTTTGTTTTGTTTTATTTTTTGGCAGTTTTTTTTTTTTTTTTTGGGCTGGGGCTGGGTTTGAACCTGCCACCTCTTGTATATGGGGCTGACGACCTACTCCTTTGAGTCACAGGTGCCACCCAGGTTGCTAAGATTTTCATCTGTGTTTTCTTCTAAGTGGTATAGTCTTAGCGCTTACTTTGAGGTCTGTGATCATTTTGAGTTAATTTTTGTGCTTGTGTGAAGCAAGGGTCAGCTCTCCTCCTCTTACCTGCCTTTGCTTGTGGATGTCCACCTGTTCTAGTTCCATTCCTAGAAGAGACTGTCATTTCTCCACTCTTACCCTCGTCTCTGCTGGAAGTCACATGGCACGTGTGCCTGGTCATCTTTCCCTCTGTGATGTGGGAATGACGAGTGGGCAGTGGGCACAGCCACATCCCACCCAGTGCGGCAACCATCAGCTGTGTGGTTTTAGGCAGTGTTGATGGTTGTTGTCTTGGGCAGCGATTTTTCAACTGGTGTGCTGCAGATGGTCACTGGTGTGTTGCAAGAGGACCTTAGATATGTTTCAAAAAAAATTGTTTTTGAGATAGAGTATCACTTTGTCACACTCAGTAGAGTGCTGTGGCATCACAGCTTACAGCAGCCTCAAACTCTTGGGCTCAAGTTATTCTCTTGCCTCAGCCTACCAAGTAGCTGGGACTATAAGAGCCACAATGCCCAGCTAGTTTTAGAGATGAGGTTTTGCTCTTGGTCAGGCTCGTCTTGAACTCCTGAGCTCAGGCGATCCACCTGCCTCGGCCTTCCAGAGTGCTAGGATTACAGGCGTGAGCCACCACACTCAGCCCCCTCAAAATACTTTTTAAAAATGAGAAAATCCATGTTCATTTCAGGCTGATGTTTTCAGTTCCAATTCAGGGGCACAAGATTCTTACTGAGTAGCTGTGGGATATGGTATTGGTATTTCTTCTCTCTGAGGCTTAAACATTCAGTTTCTAGCCATTAGCAAAATTTTTTGTTTGCTTTACCTCATAACATGCGTCCTGTTGCTTCAGAATGATGACACAGTATTATCCCTGCCATTATAATTCCTCAGAACAAGTCCAGGGTTTCTCTGCTGTTCTTTGTTCCAAGGCTGATCCCCAGGGATGTGGACTCATGCCTTGGGAGCCATATGACGACTCCTCTCTGGTCAATCTACCATCTGGATATAGAGCTGTGTTCCCTTGCTTTCTGAGGATTCTATTTGTTAAATCTCTGTTTCATTTTGTTTTGTAATTATGCAAGTAATTCACATTATTCCAAAGTCAAATCTACAAAACACATTCTGTCCAGAGGAGGAGTTCCAGCTTTGATTCCTTTCTCCTCCCTCCTGGTCTCTCCTTTGCCACAGGTGACCGAGTTCACAGTTCAGGGCTTATCTCTGTCTTTACAGAGCATGAACAGGTGTGAGGACATCCCTTTTTCCTCTGTGCTGCCCTCACCTGCAGTTCTAGTGGTCTTGGAGGCCGACCCTGGGAACATACCCTCCCATAGTCCCAGGGTCTTCGCTGAATGAGTGGTGCTTTGGGGGATGATCTTGCACCTGAATCTCTCTGAGTTCTGCTGGTGGACTTTGGGATGCCTTCCTAGGAGTAGGATTGTTTGGCAAAAAAATCAGTGCAACCAGGAACAGAATTCTCACGGCCTGTGTGATACTCAGCCTGTGGACATGCCTTTTGTTATTTAATCTTTGGGATATTACTATTTGCTGTTATTAATAGATTCTGGTGACAGGTTTGTGACTGCATCTCTGAGGACATTCAGATTCTTTCCTCAGGACTTGTCCTCACCCTAGACCTCAGGGCACTGTTGGCCTCTTTAGACATGATGCCGTCTGTCGCCCTTGCCATGGCCTTGCCTGCTCTCTGCCCACGGCCCACTTTTCTTGCCTTGCTGTTTTCCACTGCCTTGATAACTCTGAAGCTTCCAGGGTGTTCCCACAGCCCCCTCCTGGCCTGCCTGCACCTCCACCCCAGCTCCTCTACACAGTGAGGCCTCCTGTTCTCTTCCTTCTCTGCCACCTCGTCCAGGCTGCCAGTCCCTGTGGCGAGGGCAGTGTCAGGAAGCCTCATACCCAGTGCCCAGCCCCGGCCCTGTGGCCAGCCCAGAGATGCCCAGCTGGGTGGGAGTGGAGGGAGGGCCTGAGTGGGAGCCTTCCCTTTCCCGATGGGCACAGGGCATGACTGGGGAGCCCAGCGTCCCCGCTGTTCCTGTTTCTGGCCCCTGCACCAGAGCTACTGCCTGTGTGGTTTCCTCTGCCCACCCAGGGACTTGCTGGCACCCTCCACGCCATCTCAAGGGGATGCACCTCCCTGGAAGGGGCACCTTTGTGCGGTCTGCTGATGCTGGGCAGCTGCTGCTCCTGCCTGAGTCCGCGTTCCTCCTGGGAACACTGTGCAGGGAGACCACCCAGCCCAAATGACCAGGCCAGCAAACAGCTGGCTCTGCTGGTTCCTGGGAAGGGAGGGTTATCTCTTCCTCCTTTTCTTGCTCCCCCTTCTCTGTCGGACCTGCTGCCCTAATCTGTCAGGCCGCCTGGGCTGGACTCTGAAAAAAACTGCTTTCCTCTTGAGACCCTCAGGCTTGTCCCCTTCTTCTCGCAGGCGGCTCTAGCAGCACTGTCTCCCACCCCTACTCTCCCCATTGTCCCTTCACTGACACATCCAGTGTTTACACAATTGCTTTCCCATCCCAGGAGGGAAGGAGCATTTGGTCTGTCTCTGTCCCAAGTCTCGCACATACTAAGTTTAGCAAATGTTTGCTGGATGGACAGATAAATCTCTTAGGAATATGTTTTCTTTTGATTAAAAAAAATAAAAAGGTCCCAAAGTGAGCCACTCTGCTGAATGGTCTCTTTTTGCCCTGCTGAATTTTTCCTGAAGGGACTGTACAAAGCAGACCAGCGGTTTGGCCCAGGTGTGGAGACCTACCCTGATGGCAGCCAGGACGTGGGGCTGTGGTTCCGGCAGGACCTGATCAAGCTGTGCACCGAGGTGCCCGGCAGCTTCTCCCTGCGCAGCTTCCCAGAGCTCACCTGCTTCCTCACACACGCTCCTGCCAGAATCCACCTCTCGGACCAGGAGAGGATGGAGTGGGACCTGCACGAGGACCAGGACCCCTTTTTCTATGAGTACAAGCGGTTTCTTCTGAACGATGACCTGACGCTACCCCCGGAAATGCACGTCTACTCAACTGACAGCTGCCACTTGCCTATGACGTGCTCTTTCCGCCAAGAGTTGGATGCCCGGATCTTCACCAATGACATCCCTCCATTCATTGAGGATGAAGAGCCCTGGTTTATAACAAATGAGACCCCTTTGTTGGTCAGAATCCAGAAGCAGACGTACAAGTTCAGGTGATCAGTCTGATCTTTCTCCTCCATTCAATGCCCCTTTGCTGGACAGACCTGTATGGGGGGCGGGGCCCTGAAGTCCTCCCCACCAGGCCCTGATACGGGCCTGAGCAACTCTCAGGATTAATGTCAAAGCACTTTCCTTATTAAGTGAGCCAGGCGGGGCTCTCTTCCATGTGGGGAAGGAATGGTCAAGAGGTTGCTTGGTGAGCATCCCACAGCTGGTGTGTGCCCCTGAATGGCCTGTGTGGCCAGGGATAGAGTCTAGATGGGGTTGAGAGCACGTTCTGGCTCTGGGAGCTGTGCCCGTTTCCTCTTGTGCAGGTCGTAGCTGGTGGCCCTGACCGCTCAGGGTTGACATGGAGAGAAGGGTTTATTATCACCACTATGTATTAAGGCAGGATCTGCCTTGAGAGCCAAGGGTGGGAACAGAGTTAAGGTCGGGGTGGGGGACTGCCAGGCCTCTGGCTTCTCCAATGGTGGCATGAAAAGATGGCCTTTCTCTGGTCTCCAAAGAACCCCCTCACCCACCTGGTGAAAGTCTGTGGCTACCTAAGAAGAGCTGCTTATATTTTTTGTCCTCAGATATCAATAAACTGTTTTAGAACGCGTATTTGCTGGGTACAGTGGCTGCTTTTCCATCTGTGAGGCCATCTATCCAGCCACTCACTCATCCACCCATCCCTCCATCTATCCATCTATCCATCCATCCACCTATCTATTCATCTATCTACCCACCTATCCATCCACCCATCTACCATGCAAATGTCAACTAATCCTCTAATCATTGATGACTGTCGAGTATAGAAGTTGCTATAAATCCACAGGTTCTTGGTCACAAGGGGGTTTATGTACACAGAGGACGCTGCAGCGTTGCATGGTGAATAAGAGTTCTCAACTCAGAGAGGCGAAGAGTTGAGTGAGCAGAGGGCAGGACGTGGATGCTTGGTGCTGAGATGTGGGCCCTTATGCCAGCCTCCTTCCCACCCAGGCCTGGGCTGTGAGAGCTCATTTCCCAGCAGACACGAAGCTCTCATGCTCCTGCTGAAGCAGACAGTCAGCCTGGGTATCTTTGCCTCCTGGCAGCCTGTCCCTGTTACCATGTGCAACAAGGGTGACCATGACCAGCCTGGTGCAGCTGGAGCTCTGTGGGCAGCAAGGAGGGCTCTGGTCTGAGGAACGAAGACAGGCAGAGCAGGGAGGGGAAGCAGTCTACCCTGGGCCATTTCTTACAGTTGGGTCGGGTGTCCAACACCCAGTCTGAACCCCTCATACCTCTCATGTTATCAGGAACAAGAAGGCCCACAATAGCTGGAACATGGATGCTGTCCTGCAGGGGAACCGCAGTGGTTTTGCACGTCATGGGCCCAAGGAGCAGCTTTCTAAGGAGATGATCCTGAAGGCTGAGAAAGGGGACCACGACTGGATTTATAGGATCCTGAGGGACAACTTTGCCAGTGCTGACGTGGCTGACTCGAAGGGCTACACTGTGCTTGCTGCAGCTGCTGTAAGTGCCCAGCCCCCAGCCCCACCTGGCAGGTGCCTGCAGGAGTGGTCACCCATGGTGGTCACACTTATGGGGGTGGGGGAGCTGAGGTATGAGAGGTGCTGATATGTCCACACCTGCTTCTTGCTGTTCAAGAGAAAACCCCTCACCTAAGTGTGACCTGTGACCACAAATGGCAGGCAGAGAGGGCTTGGGCACATCAGCCTTTCCATTCCTCTGCTCCATGCTTGACTTTGTCCCCTCACTGAACTCAAGTGTGAGTGCCTGTGCCTGTGCTGTGGAAGGCCTGGCCAGGGGCAGCGGGATGCCAGGTGACCCTCCCTTCACCCTACAAGGGGCCAGGTGCATCCTGGCAAGTCAGGCCTTATCTCCCTCCAGGTTCACTGTCACAGTGACATCGTCAACCTTCTGCTAGACTTTGGGGCTGATGTGAACAAGTGCACAGACGAGGGCCTCACTCCACTCAGCATGTGTTTCCTCCTGTACTACCCGTCTGGGGTCTTCAAGCCCCGCGTCGCAGAGAAGGCCAAGTCTGAGCCTGAGACCCAGGTTAGCCCCTTGGCTGCTGCACTGCCCACCATCCTCTGTGTGTCCCTTGGTCTCCTTGCCCACACGTCCACCGGCCGCTGCCTTCCCCTGTGTGGGCCAGGCTCATGCAAGGTGAAGTGCAAGACAAGGCCAGCAGGGAGGGAGCAGGAAGGACAGAGCCTGTGTGCCTCGCACTAGGCTGAGGGACACATGTTCCCAGGGAGCCACGTGCACAGCCACCGGGGCTAAGCCGTGCTGTGCGGGAAAGGGGTGTGTGAGTGAGCGGAGAGGACATCTGCCATGGTGGCCCACAGCGGCCTGAGAATCCACATTTCCAACAGGTTCCTGGTGGTGATGCTGCTGGCCCAACGGTCTTCAAGCCTAGCATCGCAGAGAAGGCTGAGTCTGAGCCTGAGCCCCAGGTTAGCCCCTTGGCTGCTGCACTGCCTACCGTCCTCTGTGTGTCCCTTGGTCTCCTTGCCCACACGTCCACCAGCCACTGCCTTCCCCTGTGTGGGCCAGGCTCATGCAAGGTGAAAGCTCCAGGCTCCCCCCAGGTTCACATGTCACTGTGACAGTGAATCTGGGGGGAGATAAGGCCAGACTTGCCAGGACGCACCTGGCCCCTTGTAAGGTATGGGGAGGGTCACCTGGCATCCTGTTATCCCTGGCCAGACCTTCCACAACACAGGCACAGGCACTCACATTCGAGCTTGGTGAGGGGACAAGGTCAAGCATGGGACAGAGGTATGGAAAGGCTGATGTGCCCAAGCCCTCTCTGCCTGCCATTTGTGGTCACAGGTCACACTCAGGTGAGGGGTCACACTTTTGGGACTGTGGCTCCAAACAGAAACACACTGAGAGAAATGCCAAATAAAATGTATGATTAAAAATTCCCAGTAGCCACTTTAAGACAAAGTAAAGCCGGCTAAGGCGCCAGCCACGTACACCTAAGGTGGCGGGTTCGAATCCCCAGCCCGGGCCCGCCAAACAACTATGATGGCTGCAACCAAAAAAAAAAGCCAGGCGTTGTGGCGGGCGTCTGTGGTCCCAGCTACTTGGGAGGCGGAGGCAGGAGACTCGCTTAAGCCCAGGAGTTGGAGGTTGCTGTGAGCTGTAATGCCACGGCACTCTACCCAGGGGGACAGCTTGAGGCTCTGTCTAAAAAAAAAAAAAAAAAAAAGACAAAGTAAAGGAGGTGAAATTAATTTTAATGGTACATGTGTATTTTATGTATCCGAATGTATCCAACATGCAGTTATTTCCACCTGTAATCAGCATAAAGATTGTTAGTGAGATACTCTGTGGCCTTTTCCCAGTGACCCCTTCATATGCACGGCAGGCCTTGGTCTGGGATGGGCCCCGTTCATGGGCTTGGCAGCCCTATGGGGTGACCTCACAGATGTGTCTTTTTTTCTTTGAGGGTTTGAGGAAAGGCTGTCTCACAATGGTTCTGGTCTTAGTCTGGGTGTTCTGGAGACTGTTGGAGGGGGCTGTCACTCTGAGTGCTTCTTTCTTCTAATGACAGTTTTTTTGCACTTTCTGAAGGAGCCCTCGAAACTCCAAGCCATTTCAGACATTAAGTACTCCTTTGCTAAGACGAGCCTGGAATGTCTCTACCGTGAGGCGTGTAGCTTTGAGCCAAAGCAGGTCCTGGGCAACGAGGATGGCAGCCTGTACCAGGGCATCCAGCATTCCAGGGAGTCCCCAGACCTGAAGAACAGCTTTCAGACCAGGGACGCCTCATTAGCTAAGGGCAGCACCTGCAATGTGGAGAAAGGGCTGGAGGACACACTGGGGAACGTGGACAAGAGCACCCTGCACAGTAACGAGACGCACTTCGAGTCCAATGTCTGTGTGTGCAACTTGTCCATCGACCTGTCCCACGGCCTGCTGGAGAAGGGTGCCCAGGCCTATAGCATGCTGCAGGCCCATGCCCTGTGTGGCTCCACAGGCTTCGACAAGGGGACTATGAGAAGAATGGCACTGTCCATGGTTGAGTTAGTCACTGCCCCATGGGCTGGTGGGGTGGAGGGTCACCTGTAGGAGTGAATCATATATTCGGTGGACCCATGTCACTTCCCTGTAGTACTGGGGCCATGTTTCTAGAGATGTGTGTCTGGGTGCTTGTGTGTCCACTGGGTCAGCGGCCCCACACTCTGACCAGGCCTGTGGGGAATGCCTGTGGGAGAATCCACTCTCCATGCTGTCTTGACCTGGCCTGGCTGTGGCTCTGGCTGTGTAGTCTCTATGGAGCCTCAGGGTGGCCCGTGTTGGGGAGTCCTAGCCATGGCATGTGTGAGTGACACCTGCATGTGAACCCCACATCTAGACGAGTGCGTCTCAGCAAATGGCTTGTGTACCCTGAGGGGTCCAAGACCTTTTCAGGGTTCTGCCAGGCTGAAATAATTTTCAGAATAATTTTGAATGTTCACAGCCTCTTCATGGTGCTAACATTGCTGATGGTGCAGAGAATGGGCCCACAGAGGGAGCTGCAGCCCTCCCAGGGGGCACTGCCTCTCTCTCCAGGAGGGGCCTCTTCCCCTGTGTACACACTTATCTAATGCTCTATGTGATGAGAGATGGGAAGGACATCTCCTGTAGGCTGGAGCACCACAGCTCTCTCAGGAAACCCTGCCCCAGGCAGGAGCAGCTGGCGGAATTCACCCCCCAAACACATACACCATTTTTGATCAAAAGACCAACACCATAGTCACACCAGGGTTGTTCATTCTTCTGAACGTAGCCTGTTCCTTTAAGGAAAACATCTGGTGATATTGCAGCCTTTAACATTTGTGTTTCCAAGTGAAAATTAGCATTTTGGACACTTTATCCGTTGCCAAAACCTTCATTGCTTCTTTAATCTTGAGTTTTGGACGTCTAGAGACTTTGCCAACACCGGGGACATCTGTGTGTACCTGAGAGCAAAATATTTCCCATATAAACGAGTTCTGATGTGGAAAAATGTTTCAAGGGGTGAAGATCCCTTAGAGGCGACCAGAGGTTTTAACGTAGCCAAGCACAGGCAGCTCCTTGATGTGGTTCCAAGTTCCATGTGGCAGTGAACTAAACCACCCTGGTCTCTAGTTCTCACCTGCCATCAAGTGAGAACACCCACAATTATCTGAAAAGACCATTCAAATATTGCTCATCCTTCTGGGCTCGCATCTGTGGAGGCTGATTGCCTCCATCCACTTGGCCCAGCACAGCAAACTGCAGCAGATGGGGCCCACAGCCAGCTCTCAGCCAGCTGGCTCACATAGGTACAGAACCTCATAGACAAAGCTCTTTGGGTCCTCACAGCAGAAAGGGGTCCTGAGAACAGGGGCTTTGAGACCTGCTTCGCTAGGCTGATCTCCTGTCCCCACTGCCTCCTGTCTGCCCTGGCCCGGCCCTGCACGGTTGTGGGGTCAAGGGGCCGCCAGACCCTATGCCTGCTCTGCCTACCAGGCCAGTCTCAATTCCACCTGGTCCTCACCAGCAAGTCCCACAGCCCCACCTCTGCCTTCCTACAGGCACTGCCCGTAGGGCTGTCTGGCTCTGCCCACCTACCTGGTCTCTGCTGAGGCTCACATCTCACTGCCTGTCCCCTGAGTGTGTGGTGTGTGTACGGTGTAGTGCATGTGGGGCGTGTGTGTGTGTGTGTGTGTGTGTGTGGTTTGTAGCACACACACCACACAGCACCCTCCCACACATCCCCACCCCCACCACTTCCCTGCCTGTCCCTGGGGGTCTACTGTCCCTGAGGCTGTGACCAGGCAGTGACAATGTCCCACTTCTCCCCCAGGCGCAGAAACAGGTGGCGGACCATCAGGTTGCTGCTGCAGCGAGGTGCCGACCCCAACCTGTGCCAGGTGCCCATGCAGGTCCTGTTTCTCGCTGTCAAGGCCGGGGACGTGGATGCTGTGCGGCTGCTGCTGGAGCACAGGGCAAGGACCGACATCCGGTTCCCCAACAAGGTAGGAGCTGGCAGAGGTCGGGGCCGGATGGGGCTCCTGGGCCTGGGGCTGGTCCTGGGCCCCGCTACAGAGGTGTCACCAGGTAGGCCCTGCAAGCTGGTTTAGTTGTCACAGTGCCTTGTGCCCTATAGAGTTTGTAGAGTGTCTCCCAGTGTCCAGAAGGTGACCTGGGTTTGGGAGGCAGGGGCAGCCACCTGCAGGGCGTGGCAGAGGGCTCTGGCATCGACCTTCTATCTATCAACAGCCAGGAAGTTGTATAGCTGAGAAAGAAACAGGTTTTCTTTAAAGGGGAGAGACACATGGATGTGATTTTATATTTTTTTCTAAAGAAAGCGTGAACCCCTGTACCTGCCCACAGAGGGAGGCTGTGGCCTTCCTGAGGGACGCTTCTCCCCACCCTGAGGTGACACTCAGTGTTTAGCCAGAACATGCTGGGACTTTGCTCTTAAGTTAACTCGCACTGGGTGCCAGTTCTTTGAAGGGAGAAGAAAGGCTAGAGCTTTCGCAGACTTGCTGTGGACTCACTGCCTTGGCATCTTGAAGGGCCACAGTCACTTCCCTAAATCGAGATCCAGCCTGAATCACCAGGATCATGTGTCAGGTGTCCAGGCCACATCCAGATGTGAACAGATGGATGGCATAATCTGGCATCAGGGCCACCTTCGGGTGCCCCAGAAGAGGTGCGTCACACATTGGCAAGGTGCCCAGGCCACTTAGCTGTGAAATTCACTTTTTCTTGTCTGGTTGTGTAAACATGTCCAATCAGCCGTTTAAGCCCTGTTGAAGGCGTAGTTTGGAAGCTCTCTGGGCACCAGGCTTGTGCTCTTATGCCTGAGGGCAGGCGGTCTCACCCCCTAGGCTGCTTTGCTAGAATGTAGCTCCAGCCTTCTGAGTGTACGGTTATGCTGAAAATAGAATTTCTGATTAAGACCTATGATAATTTCATGTTTCACGCTTACTGATTGAGCTCTGTCCTTGATTCTGGCTAAGGTCACAGTGGCTAAACTTGGCCCAGACGTCCTTAGTTTCTTCCTTTGTCCGTCCACCCATTATTCCCACCAGGATGCATCACTGACATGCTCATCTTTCAGAGGGAAGGTTTTTCTACATTAAGCTATTTGAGTAGGTTGGGCTGTGTGAAAATGCCCTCTCCTCCCTGGGCGCAGGCTGAGAAGCTTCTGGGGCCAGCATAGCCATCACACAGGGCCACACCTGGGCACTGGAGGGCAGTGTCCTTACCCCAGGCACTGCCTGCTCCACCTCCAGGCATGGGGCGGCCTCTGCCAGCATCTGCTTTAGGACTTGGGATGTTCTGGTTTCTGAAGGTCTATTTTAGTCTGTCTGTGCTGCCTCAGCTAAATATCTAGGCCTGGGTGATTTATGAACAGGAATGTATTTCCTCCCAGCTCTGGAGGCTGGGAAGTTCGAGATCAAGGCATCTGGTGGAGGCTGCTCTCTGCTTCTTGGACAGCACCTTGATGCCGTGTCCTCTGCAGGGTAGGGCATCATGTGCTCACAGAGCAGGAGGCTGCACTAGCCTCTCCTGAGAGGGCGTGGCCCTGTGCCCACCACCTCCCAAGGCCCCTCCTCATAACCACCAGAGGCCTTCAGGTCTCAGTGTCTGGACCTGGGGGAGGACTCATTCAGCCTGAGGCAGGTCCTGCAGGGCTTGTGCTGTGGCCACCCTAGCAGGGGCAGGGGCAGGGTGGGCTCTGCAGTGGAGACATTAACATGCTGTCCTGGAAATGCACGCACAGTTGTAAAGTGTAGGATAAGTAAAAACTAAACGTTTTTAGTGAATGGCTCCTGGCCATTCACGTGACGTGTGCTGTGGATTAGCTGGTGCCAAACATAAATGAAACAGCCCCACACTACTCTTCAGGACTCCAGGAGTGTGGAGAAGGGCTCTCAGCCTGCGCCCCAAGGCTCCTGGGCGGTGCCCCCTGCACGCCCTGTGCACTCTGCTGTGCTTTGGTTTTTGGTTTTAGCATAAGCCATGTATCTTGGGGAGCCCTTTAGGCCAGTGCATAGTCTCCTATCTTTGTTTTTTTGGGGGTACAGCTGTATGCATTTCATTGGATTTAGATAGCAATTCATTCATGGGCCCCAGTGGATGGACAGCTGATGTTATTGGCATCTTTCTTTAGACCAAGGTGCCGTGAATAAAGTGAGACACTGCCCATCACACTTGGGGTGCTGGGGGCCCTTGTAGCTCTGCCGCACTGTCCAGGTGCACTGGGCATGGTGACTTCAGCTGTAGCAGAGCAGGAGTTCTGTGGCTGCTTCTCGTTTTTCTAGAATGCCTGGGAAATCCAAAGAGTGGTTCAGTGTGTAAATGTTTCCAACTGGTCGTTGACATTAGTGCCAGGCGCATAGTCTGTTCTCACCAGGTTTACTTCTTAAAACATGGCCCACATTTCAGAGCCCCCATGTTAGAGTCTTGGCCCTTAGGGACAGAATGCCTGTATTTCAGGTTGGGTACAACCACATTTTCTCTAGACTCTGACTATACATCTGTTCTCAGGGGGATCTCATACATGAGAGTGAGAGAACTGGGAGCCTTCTCTGCAGCCTCTCCCCTCTGTGTGGCCCAGCACTCAGCTGCCAGCATCACCCGCCTGGCAGCCCTTGGGGTTGCCTGTGTGTGGGTGGGTTTGCATCTCATGACCCCTCCTGGATTCCTTGTGCTCTCTGTAGAGCAGCCTCTGATCATCCTTGCTGAGAGGGTCTGTGCTTGGCAACTGTCTCATACTGCTGAAAATGTCATTGTTTTATGCTCTTGCTTGAATACTGCCTCAGCTGGATTCATATCGTTTTCCCTTGGGACGCTGTAGGTGAGGCTGTGCTGTCTTCCAGCCTCTGTGGAAGTGATTTAATGAGAAGTGAGCACTCACCTGACCCACATCTTTGCAGGACAGTCTTACTCGGCCCTGGGCCAGAGCTTCGGATCTGTGAAGTTTTCTTACATTATGTCTTGAGTATTTCTTTCTGTAATCTTCTCTCTATTGTCCTTCTGAAGATCTCACTTGATGGACAGTAGAACTCTGAATCTCTCCAAGATGTCGCCTAAGCTTTGTTTCCAGAGAATGTTTTCTATTTTTTTGTCCTGCTCTATCTTGGGAAACTTTTTCAGCTTACTTATCTCTTGTCTCTGGATCCACCCTCAGCTGAGTCTTCCTGCTATTTAGCTCAATTGTTGTTGCCGTGATTTCAATGCTTAGGCTTGACAACTCTGTCTTACGCCTCTCCAATACCTGGTGGCAGCTCCTGCAGGGTGGAATGTGCTGCCCGGCCGCTGGGTCTGAGCCCCTCTGGTGTCAGTGCCCAGGTCAGGTCTGCTGGGTCCTGGCCATGTGGTGGGGCTCCTCCCGCTGTGCACCTCTGTCTGAGTGCTGAGTCTGGAGCCAGGGTCTTGCTCACAGCTGTGAGTATTGGGCCATATGGGGTGACCCGGGGCCTGTTCCCTGGCTGCTGGGACTCACACTCCACCTGCAGGACCTGCTCTGGCCTCTGGGTCCCCCAGGTTGCTAGCAGGGGAGGTGGGCAGCCCTGTGAGGTCACTGGCTGCTATCTCAAGTCCATCTGACTGGTCCTCCTACTGGTCATTCTTCCTGCCTTTCAGGCCTGTCTACCTCCACCCCCAGAGAGGCCTCCTGGGTGTTCTCTGAGGGGCCTTCCTGCCTTAGCAAGGTCACAGTTTAGGGGGCAGGGCTGAGGGTACAGGCTGGGAGGAGTCCACCTGGAACATGGCTTTCTGCCTTCTCTGACTGGGCTCTCGAGTTGACTGGGCTGCCTCCCAGGGCCAGGTGCCTCTAACCAACTCTGTGCTGGGTGCTTGGAGCTGTCCTCCATGGGCACTCTCACCTGACTGCTAGAGGTTAACTGTGGCTAGAAAACTGATAGGTCAGGGGCTGGAGTCAGGAGGCCAGTCAGCAACTGTGCACTGTCAGTCTGGGGCATCCGAACCAGGACAGCTGGAACAGGAAGGCACTTTTCTTAGAGGAGCATGTGGACAGTTGGTTTAAAGTCACACAGCTCAGGCCCCGCATTCCTACCTGTGGCCCAGGCAGGTGGGTGTCTTGGGGAAAGGGCATGTGGATTTTGAGGCATGTCAAGAGCTTGCAGGCTGTTTATTTGCTAGTGGGCACTTGTCTGCCACTGCTGTCAAGGCCCCTTGTCCTGCAGGTCCTGGGGCTGGCGAGGGTGAGAGGGTGCCATCTACTCTCAGGTACAGGAACAAGTAGGCAGCCGGTCCCTGGCATCTGGGCCTCCCAGGGAGCTCACCTGCCTCCCCATCCCTGCCTTCCCTCTGCAGCTGGGGGCCCTGACACCACTGCACATCGCTGCTGCCCTTCCCGGGGAGGAGGGCGTCAAGATCACGGAGCTACTGCTGCATGCCATCACTGACGTGGACGCCAAAGCGGCTGACCAGGACCACATCTACAAGCCGGGCAAGGTGCACGGTCTTATAGCAGGTGGAAGGGAGTGGGGGCGTGGCTAGGCTGAGGAGTCCCCTTCAGACGGGTGGCACTGAGCACGTCTGGCCCCTCCTGTGTGGGGCACAGAGCCAGGGCAGGTCCAGAATGATCCACCCAGATGACAAGTTTATTTTGAGATCAAGAGACCAAAACCAACTAATTAAACGAGTTAAAGACCTGCTCATTCAAGCAGCTCAGCCGGGGGCCCCTCATGCTTTTCAGAAGCTTCCTCTTCATGGACAGAGGGATTTCCAGTATGTCCTTGGTGCCTTCTCCAGTAAAGCCCAGCCTGCCCTGCCCACTGTCTCACCCTCCTGTCCTGGCCATCCCTCAAAGCCCCCTCTGTGTCCCTTTGGCCTCTCACCTGCTATTCTCTGAGGAGGCAGAGCCCTGAGTGGGACCCAATGCCTGGCTCCTCGAGTGGGCTCTGAGCTCAGTAAGTGCCAGGCATGGGGTGGGCTATAGTTGGGGCACTGGTCGCCCTTGGCCTATGTTGAGGGCAGTGGGGTGGTATGTGGTCTTCTGTCCTCAGGGAGAGGACTTGGCTCCTTTCTGTTGACTAGCACTGTGTTCACGTGGACAAGGGGGCAGGAACAGCCCAAGACTGGGGGCCTGGGCCATGGTGCTGCACAGCCCCTGGAACCCTCAGGCTGTGGTTGAGCAGGTGACACCTGCCTGGCAGTGCCTGGCTGGAGGGAGCAGGGCAGGCAGGCTGGCTGTCCTAGGGGTCTTCCAGGGATGCTGCAGTGGTCCCGGGAGCAGAGGTAGAGGCCTGCGAGGTTGGGCAGTGAGTGGGATCAGGGCTCAGGCATCCTGAGGAAGGAGTAGGGTAATTGGCTGGGCTGTGTCTACACTACCATGGCCTCTGCACCCCACTGGCAAGGTCAGCTCGAAAGCCCCCTCAGCCGTGAGACTTCCTGGCCTTGCCATACTCCAAAAGACCCCTGGGCCTGGGCTGTGAGCCCTGTCTTCCTTCCCCACCAGGAGCGGAACCCCACACAGCCGGGGCCAGCCCTGGCATGCAGCAGAAACTGTTGGATATGGGCACATGTGTGGGGACGTGGCCTGCACAGCTTACTGTGTGGGAGACACATGAGGGGAGGCCACAAAATGTCTCTGACCAACCTGGGTGACAGGCACACGGAGGTTGTGTGTCAGCACTCAGGCCAGTCTCCCGCAATGTGCCCCAGGCCTGCGGTCCGAGGAGGGTGCTCATATGCCCCCGGTGCGGCTTCCTGGGGTCTGGGGCCTGCTCTGCCCGCAGGTGACAGGTCTTTGGGCACTTGACAGGGGCCCAGGTGACAATATTGACCTGCTTTTGCACACAGCTGGACCTACTGTCCTCAAGCATGAAGCTTAGCAATGAGCCAGGCCCGCCCAGTGCCTACTACAGTGCATACTCGTCCATCCCAGAGGAGGGAGGCAGGACGGCCTTGCACATGGCCTGTGGGCGCGAAGGCAACAGCAGGGTGAGCCCAGGGCTGTGGGGTGTGTGTGTGACCACCTGAAACCTGGGCAAAGCCAGGCAGGGCAAGAGGGCGGGAGGCTCAGCACATAGCCAGCTGAGCCTCAGGTTACCATCCCATAAGATGGAAACGATGACCCTGGGCCTGCAGCACTTGTGTGGTCTGGACACACAGAGTGTGAGGGCACAAATGAGGGAGTGCCACGTATATGAGAGCGGGCCTGTGGATGGTGCTGTGAGGGACCAGGGCTTAGAACATTCCTGGTCAAAGTCGTCCTGGGGGAAGGGGAGAGGGAGCAGGTACCCTGGGGGCCTTGTTAGGGACAGGGTCACCACCCTGACCAGAACCACCTGGGTGCCACGAACCCACATTCGGAATGGGGGCGGCACAACTACAAGAAGGCAGCTGGCCAGAGCCCTGGCCACTCTGTGCAAGGCCTGGGCTTATCACAGTGCTTTTCCACTCAGGTACTGCAGCCTTTCTACTGCTTGTGGATTTGGAAGAGTTATGGGAAATTAGGGTTAGCAAATATTGACTGTGACTCTATCATAAGGTAGAGGACAGATCACCATAGTGCTGAGGTCATGAGGGTTGCAGCAGTTCAGCCATTGCATCTGCATTCCAGCAGGGAGAGGAAGGAGGGGATGCTTTCCCACTAGGCCCTCAGCAGACTTGTTCTGGCTCCTCACTGGCCTGGCCAGGGGTGCTGGCGGGAAAGAGAGGGGCACAGAGGCTGGGCCAGCCAGCTGTGGGTCTGCCACACATGGAGGAAGCAGCCTCACTGGACAGTGTGGGAGCTAGACCTAAGAGGAGTTCTTGGTGGGAGGAATAGGAGCTACAAAGGGCAGCTCCCCAAGAACACTTCCAAGACAAGAAGAGAAGAGAGAAGCTGAGGGTTGCAAAACAGGTATTTCCCAAAGGGGAGCAAGAATGTTGCTGGCTTCTGAGCTAATAGGAAAGCAGAGGGATCCTGGGGGAGAAGGGCAGAAAGGTAAAGAGGGCAAGCATGGGCCCCCCTTCCAGGGAAGAAATTCCCTGCCTCAGCTGAAGCTGTTGCCCAGGCTGGTGTGCAGTGGTCCAATCATAGCTCACTGTAGCCTTGAACGTCTGGGCTCAAAGAATCCTCCCACCTTGGCCTCCCAATATGCTGGGACTGCAAATGTAAGCCACCTCATTCAGCCAGAGGCTCTGGGGTGATTTACACTGAGGTTTCTGTGAGATGCCTGAGCCCTGGTGAAGGAGGTGCTCCTTCAGTCATCTCTGGTATGTGCCGCGTCCTGCTAGATGGTCATGTGGTCTTAACTGTCCCCTGTCCGTTGAAAGCAAACTATACCCCAGTTTATGCCTCAATGTCTTATGGAAATGATGACTGTTTCAAAAAACATCTCAGTTTGAAGATCTATCTACCCATTCACTCCTCCACTTATCTGATTGTCCAGATTTTATTACAGAGTACTTTCTGTGTGCCAGGCAAGGTGCTGGGCTGGAGTGTGTAGCAGTTGAGTAACTAACCTGACTTATGGCATTTAGATTTGTGATGATTGTCAGGTACTCCTGGGCAGTGGGGCACTCTCTAACCATCATGCTTCTGCCTTTCTACCTACCCAGTGTGCCAAGGACGTCGTCCAGCTCCTTCTGTCTCACAGAGCAAATCCTAACCTGCTGTGGAGTGGCCACTCCCCACTCTCCCTGTCTATTGCCAGTGGGAATGACCTGGTGAGAATGTTCTCCACCCGGGGACCTGTGCACTTGTGGTGTTTCCATTTCCAGTGCCCGACTCCCATTGGTCACTGGGATTTGGTATTGTTAGCCATGTATCCACCCAACCGTCCATATACCCATCTATCCACTCAACAGTTCACACTAATCCAACCACTCATTTATTAATCCATCCATCCTTCCATTCAACTATCAATCTATCTACCTAGACACCTATCTGTTCACCTATCCATTTATCAGTTCATCCATCCACCCATCTACTCATCCACCCATCCATCCATCCATGCATCTACTTATTTATTTATCTCTCCATCTACTCATGCTGCCATCTCTCCATCTCTCCATTTATGGATCCATTCATCCTTCCATTCACCCACCGTCTATCTATTCAACAGTCC